GCTCAGCGGATGCTCTTGGAACACGAACGGAACTATGGTTTGGGCATGGATGCTCTGGTCAGCGTATGCTCTTGGAACACGAACGGAATTATGGTTGGGCACGGATGCTGTGGTCAGCGGAGGCTCTTGGACCATGAACGGTGCCAGCCCGGGCACTTGGCGCACCCGGAGCCAAAAACTTACTGGTCATCAGTAGGGAAGAAATAAGGGAATATATTATCTAGGCATTATAGAGGGATTCTATTCCCTTATTCCACCCTAAACCCTAAACCCTAAACCCTATTCCCTACTAACCACCAGGAAGGCGTCTCCTCGACCGTCTCGGGCTCCTGGGTGTCCGTAGCCGGGGCTCCCTCGAAATCAGGCCTCGAAGTTTATATTCGATGGGTTTAGGGTTGTGGCTTTATGGACAAGACAAATGAAACGACTTGAAAAGCCCAAGTTACCACAAACTTTTGGGCTACTTTAACCCAAGGTGGCGGGGAATTAGGGCAAAGTAGATTGTAGCTATGGGCTACTGGCTATTTTGGAGGTACTAGATTACAGCCCCCTTTGAGTAGATAGAAAATGGCATATATTGGGACCTTATTCTGATTTTGTGCAATTCCTAGTTATCTACTTGAGGGGGACTATATTTGGAGCTTGGGGTTTGGGACTTCCAGCCTTGGCTTCAGGATCAAGCAAATTTAGGGTTTAGGGTTTACGGTAAGTATACTTCTAACCCCTACAAGTGACGATAGCCCCTGTTCTCCCCACTGTTAACCTACAAGCTAAGGACCTCTGACCCTTCAAGCAGGCTTGGTTATACTGTAACTGTGAAGGAACACATTGTTACATTTAGGGTGTAGGGTGTACAGGACTTTTGGTAGGCATCAGCACTACGATTTCAATGAATTATAAGGGCCCTGCCGAATGACCGACTGTACTAGTTGACAGTTGTCAATCTCGCTATACTACATTCCGGGTTACAATCCCCACAAGAAAGATCCCCCCCCAGATTTAGAACCCTATCAGACCTTACTACGCCCTAACTAATCCTTATGAACTCCTGAAACGTTGCGGGGGTTGCCTCTGCAGCATGGCCGTCTAATGCCTTACTACGCAGCCGAATGGGCTGCCCATCGCAAGCTTCAACACCCTGACAAGGTTTTCCCAACCCTGGACCCTGAACCCTATACCCCAAACCTTGAACCCTCAACCCTAAACCCTATGGTCAGTCAATGTGACATGGGGAAGGTCTGCGAAGTCTCAGGCCCGCACGACTCTGGAGCAGGAGCCACCTCGCCCTCCAAGGCAAATGCTAATTGTTTGCAGAAATTGAGAGACCTGGTTTGGGGTTTAGGGTACAGGGTCTGTGAAGAAATAAGGAGGCCCTTCACACACCCAATATGGGGTTTCCCAACATTAGGGTGTCTTTTGGGGGTCCCTATAATGAGGATTTCTTCGTCAGGATCCCCCCAGCTATGGGATCTACCATATATTATCGCGCGTGTTAGAAGTACCCTCAAAATGGGGGACCGCTGACTGTTGGAAATCCCCGAACTGCTGGCCGTTACTTGCCTCATTCATGCTGATGTTCTTCTGACTCTCGGTGTCACTTCTACTGAATGCCGCGTATAGAAGTTTTGGAAGCTCATGCCGAGACAAATGGACCTTGTTGGGCCGCGACTCAAAAACAGAGATCCCTCCAATAAAACATGTTGGCGACTGTTCCTATAAACTAACCCTTAATCCCAGTTTCCATTTCATTTTCCATTTTCTTTTCCATTTGATTCTCCATTATTGGGATATACATATATATATATGTATACAAAGCAACAATAACAAGCACAAGCATCTCCTAATTCCGGGCGGCTTCTCTTCCTGCTGCTATTGCTGGTACTGGTATCACTGCGACCATTACCACGATTACTGCGACTGCTTCTACTACTACTCCTCCTACTCCTACTCCTCTTACTCTTCCTTTTGTTTTCACTCCCACTCTTATTTTTACTCTTACTCCTGCTTTGGCAGTTACTATTGATATCACCATGCTCAGGATTGAGACCCTGCATGGGCCTCTGCTGGCTCCTCCTCGTCAGGCTGCTCTTCAGGCTGCCGCATGTAATGTGTGTAAGGCTCATGCTCTCCTTCGTCAAGCTGCTCTGTGCCATGCGGCTCTGCATGGGGTTGCTCTGCAGGTTGCTCTGCTGCCGGCTGCTCTTCTTCGGGCTGCTCGGCTTCAGGTTGTTCCATGCCCAGCTCCTCTGCCCTCGCCGGGCAGGGCTCTGCGGTGTCAAGCAGCTCTGCTGCTGGCTCTTCAGCATCAGGCTGCTCGACATCAAGCTGACTGTCGCTTTCTGGGCGTGCGCCTGCGGACAACGAACTGGTAAGGATACGCCCCAGGACTTTTGAGGGCTAAGTTAAGCGGTTCAACAAGTCCGCGGCTCGTGCGATCAGGAATGCATGCTGCAGACCCGGACAACAAGCAGGCATCTGACAGAAGAACTTCAGATAGCAAGTGCCAGAAAGACCCCCCACCATGTAATAGTGGTATAATAGGAATATAAGAGGACCCTAATATAATCCTTATTAGCGCTTACACTCACTATTACTAGGTGGGGATCCGCCTAAAGTAAGCACAGCAAGAGCCCTCCAGTCTTCCTCAGCCACGAGGGTAGCCGAGGTCTCCCATCCATCTTCCCTGAAATAAAAGGGACCTTTTTGCAAGAGCCCTCAAAAAGTTTGCACAATCTTGGCACACATGGTAGATTGTTAAGTTTCTCGTCCTTCTTGGGGTTCCCATTATAGCACGGCCTCTAAGATTTGGGGTGCCCAAAAGCGACCCGAATTTTGACAACGGCCCATATCCAAGAGATCAGCCTGCAAAAAGCTAATATTGCAGACGGGCACCTTGTCTGCCGTGATCTTCTGCGATGAGGAGGCCCTCCTGGTTGGAGTGCACACGCTTAGGCGGACCCCATGCCTTGCAATAGTGGTGTAATACGAATAGAAGATGACCCTAATATAATCACCATTATCCCGTTTTAGTCACCGATACTGAGTGGGGGTCCACCTAAGGTTTAGGGCGTAAAGGATAGTGATCTGGGAATTTCAGTGGGACAACTACAATCATGATGTGGGAGTTTCTCAACACAGCCCCTAAAGAAACCTGCAACGAGACCCTAAATTTGCCTGGCGACATGCCCCATAACTCGCTGTAAATCCCGCGGTCCCTTAGGGCACCGGTTTTCTAAGAAACATGTATGTTCTCATTCCTAACCCTAAACTCTGACCCCCAAACCTTAAACCCTAAACTCTAAATCCCACACCCTAAATCCCAAACCCCAAACCTTAAACCATAAACCCTAAACCTCAAGACCTAAACACTAAACCCCAAGCCCTAAACCGGCCTCGTTTTCAGGAGGGGCTGCCGGGTCGCCCGGGGCCTGCCCAGCCCTCCAAGTCAAGACCTGGCAGCTTCCTACGACTCTCGGAAAGCACCTGAAATCTAGGGTTTAGGGTTTAGAGTTTAAGGTGTAGCGTTTGGGGTGTAGGGTGTCGGGTTTGGGGTTTAGGGTTTGGGGTTTAGGGTTTGGGGGTTTAGGGTTTGGGGTGTAGGGTTTGGGGCTTAGGGTAATGCGGTTGATGTTCAAAAGTCCTGCACGGCCCTAAGTACCTTATACCTTGGTACCTACAGGAGCTTAGTTTCCAGTCATGCAGGGTTTCTGCATCCGCCATGGGGATATGAGGTTATACAGGGAGACGTACGGGTATGTAAGGTTCTGGGTTGGGGATGTTACTTCAAATCATGGATAACAGATCATGGGGACTATAGTTTGCTTGAGATTATGGGAATGCTAAAGTGCTGAAGACCCCATTCCTACTCAGCACCCTAAACCCAATGCCCTATACCTACTGTTGCTTCCGCTTTCTTTTCCATTCCCTGCTGACCCACCATGCTTCCATTCTTTTCCGCTGAAATAGCAACCCTAAGCCCTGTGACAGTTCCCATGTTTGTTTCCATTCCTTCAGTCCCTGCTAACCAAACGTAAGCTGTGCTAAAAGACCCCTATATAAACCTAGTTTCCATCTCATTCTCCAGTTCCTTTGGTTCTCCTTTATTGGGAACAATGTCCCCACACCCAACATTAAATCTTCAAGCTTAAATCCTCCATGGGGGGGGGGGGGAGGTGCCTAGCTCCCATTAAATTGAGAAAGCCATGCTTGCCTGAACCCACGTTGCTAGCCGACACGCGGCTGCCACCGTCGCTTCAAAGCTACCCACCTGACTTGCAAGGCCCTAAATCCCAATCTCGAAATCCTCACTAGTAGTCCTCTGTTGGGGAGGTTCCTGCCAAAAGGATTTATTCTCGCATGTAGGGCACGAATACAACTATTTCTCCTTTCTAAGGGCTTTTTAAGAAGCATCCGTTTGCCTTTACAGCTGTTGCGTTATCATGTCTAGAACCTCGACAAGGGTGTATAGGGACACACAAGGGCATACAAGGTTCTAGGTCTATGGATCTTACGCTAATAATGGAGAATCAGGACGGCATACGACCAGGTTATAGGTCCATGGATTTTACCCCAATAATCGGCGTACAAGGTTATAGGTCTGTGGATTCTACCACAATAGTGGAGAATGCGACGGCATACAAGGTTGTAGGTCTATGAATTTTACCCCAATATTAATAGAGAATCTTACCCCGGAGAATCAGATTTGAGAAATGAAAAGTTAAATGGACTCTAGCAGCAGTACTGTTGTGGAGATTATGACTTTTACTACTAGCACAGGGAATATTACGGCTGTCAGGTTGTTAGCAAGTACTATGGTTATAGTTGCAGGAGCGCATGCTGCACTTTGGAGCACTACTGTGCTCATCAACTGCTGATGAATCTTGGGAGTCCTATAATTAGTTGTGGAAACATCACACGGGCACGTCTAAATCGGGTCGCAAGAAGCGTGCAAGATTGCTCTTAGGTCAATCCCCCCTACCGTGGCAGCCTCTAAACATGGAGTTAACTGAGCCTTAATATTCCTACAATAGTCCCTAGTGGTACCCATTACTGGGTGGGGATTGACCCAAGATGGCCCCGGACACAAATGCAGGCGCCAGGCTGGCACCATGCAAGCGCCACCATGGGAAATTGCTGGATCCCAATTGGGACCCACATCATAGCAAAGACAAAAGATGGGTTCAGTCCAATGTTAGCGTCTCCTCTACTTCTGGTCTTGCTACAAGCCCGGTTCAGATGCAATCAATCACTACCCTCAAAAGAGCTATACCCTAAACCCTAAACCATATGAGCATTACATAAGCCTTATACGTGGTACTCACCTGGTACCCTCCAGCTGCCAGCAGAAGGTTGAACATGCCGGATTGGCAATGCGAACTGGCCGGTCTTCGGTTCCAGTTATAGCCTCCTCTGGGTGCTTTGTATTGGCATGGGGTTTAAGGCTGAGGGTTTAGGGTGTGATTCATAAAGCTGGGGTTTTGGATATGGAGAGGACTCTGGCGGCATGGCATCATAGATTATCAGGGTCCCTTGTTGGAGTTGTGTAGCGATTTTGCTGAGAAGCTCTGATCTAAGTGCTTGGTAATTACTCACTTTGGAGACATGCAACAAAAGTTTGCGACTGGTGAAGCAAACTACTAATCCCCTCTCCTAGTATAGCCCCCCCAATATAGAATTATCATGTATGACGGGAAATATTAAATATTGCGCAAGGGTGTGGGGGGGAGCATAGGTGAGGGGATTCATCATTATGTGATATCCAGTTGTTCGAAAGCTAGGCGTTACAGTTCTTCAACCCTTGTTCCTTGGTTTCTACGAATTATGATGTCCGAGGGGTCCATGAATGTCGGGAGCCCGGTTTAAAATTAAGGAGTACATTATTATTCGGGCGTGTATGTGGAGGACCCCTTTTTGGAAGCTGCAAATCTGAAGCCTCAGGTCCTGTTCTACAACATAATTGTACAACAGATATGCATGCTGGTCGGCCATGGAACACCAGCCTTTGATAGGAAACAGTTGGAAGATCAAGTCGTACTTGTGACCTTCTGCCGGGCTCATGCAATCCTTTCCCCAGACACGTTATTTAATCACAGTTTCCACGTCATTTTTCATAGTCGTTTCCGTCTCTTTCTCCATTGTTGGTGTAATGTGTCCCAAACTCAAACCCTTATCCCTAAATAACCTGGCGGCGTCCATCTCACTTTCCAATTGATTCTCCATTATTGGGGTAATAGCAGCCTAAACCGTAAGGTTAACAAAGTGGGCCCCAAAAATGGACCCAATACACCTTCTTGTCTGTAGGGACTCCTGAAAACCTCCTACTTTTTGGAAAGCCCCATTTTGACACATGCCCACATGGGTGGTTGTCAAACTTATGGTCCCTTTTTGGGTACCCTAAATACTAGGTGCCGTATTATAAAAGGCATCCAAAAAAGGGACCATAATTTTGACAACCACTCATATACTAACCCCAATATTACCCCAACCCACGTCCTAAACGCTAAATAGTAGTTTCCATTTTCTTTTCCATTATCCCTATACAACCCCAATATTATACTGTATAACCCCTATATAACCCCTCTAATTGCTTGTAGTTTCCATGTTCTTTTCCATCCCTTTTTGACCCCAATATATACCCTATAAAACCCATTATAGTAGTTTCCATTTTCTCTTCCATTATCCCTAAAACCCTAACCCCTAAACCCTAAACCATAATTTTGCCAACCACCCACATGATCGCATGCAGAGCACCTGTACAGAGAGCTCTGCGGCCGATAGCTCCATGACTTTGCTGAGGGTTCCTTAGTAGCTTCTTTTTTATGGGTTTAGGGTTTAGGGGTTTAGGGTTTAGGGCTCAGGGCTTGTAACCCTAGAGCCCAAGCCCTATAGGGCTGAGGATTTATAAGCCCTGTAGGGCTGAGGATTTATAACCCTAAACCCTATAGGGCTGAGGGTTCAGGGTTCAGGGTTGGGGGTTTAGGGTCGGGCATGTCATTAAGGAGTAGTCTCCCTGACAGACTGCATCTCAAAATGTCAAGATTCTAAAGCATCATAGGTTGGGTACCCCCTCACCCTGTAACAGTCTATATTAGGGTCACATTAAGGCTATACATAGCTAGATTATTCAAGTCAATAGTTACAGAGTAGGGGCAGTACCCAAAACATAAGGTTTGGGGGTTATGGTACAGGGCTTTGGGTTT